TAATTCGAAGAAAAATAAAGTGTTACTGTTTCTTATTTGTAGAAGGTTTAAGAGGAAAGACCACAACATAGTGAACTAATTCATCACAATACATGAAAATTCTGATTTCTCTTTTTTGAAAAATGAAATGGTCTTTCCTTTTACTCTCAATCAAATATCTTTTCTGGAATTATGAATAACATGAATGGATTGAAATACTTAATTAAATTATCTCAAAATAAACCTTCATTTAGGTGCAAGATTGAAATTAGCTTAAATTCTTCATACCCTCTGAATAGTGGGTGACCCAACGGATCACAAGTTGTGTAGAAAAAATTAAACTCTCAGTAAAGAAATCAGTGAACAACGGCAAAAATCAACTTTACAAATTAATTAAACATAAAATGAAACGCTTTAACAATGATCTATCATATTTAAGAGGGGATAGCTAACACAATACCACATAAAAAATAGAACTTTTAACAATGATGAACATAAAAAACTTTAACATAGATATATATATATATATATATATTCCCTAATGATAAAATACACAATAAAAAATTCAGTCTGTTAATACCAAAACATTGAATGAAAACTTAAACACAATATGTCAAAACTTAAAATAACCCTTTAATAAAAAAATCAAAATAACATCACAATCATTAAACAAACCCTTTAGCATTAGAAATGACATCATGAGATACCTATCAAATAGTAATAAAAATTAAAATAGCCTTCTACTTAAAAGTAAAGTAAATGCTTTAAAAAATCAAAACATAAGACAAGCCCTTTATACAAAGTCCCCTCAGATTAGCCACTCACATCAATGAAACAACAAAATAAAATAACCATTTAAAAAAGAAACATAACACATATCTACATAAAACCCTTTACAAATGGCACAAAAATATTCACATATACAAGAACGTTCTATTAAATAATATATGTAAACAAAACTATCTATATAGCAAAGTTAAATAAATATCTAAATAAAATCATATTATAATACAAGGACTTAAAAAACTGGATCCACTTAAGGCAGAACCTACAGCAGGTCTTCCATGCAGCTCTGGACTTTTGATGTGTTGTGATGGTCTGTCAGGTGATTTCTTGAGCTCTTGCAAAAGCTTTGTGAGTTTACACCAGATCCTCTTGCAGATGGTGTACTTCCTACTCCAACTGTGATGGAGAATCTTGATGTTTGAGCAGTCCTCCTCACGATTGTACAGTACACT